ATTCATGAGGGATATTGGTCTGTAGTTTTCCTTTTGAGTGATGACTTTGCCTGGTTTTGGTATTAATGTTATGCTTGCTTCATAAAATGAATTTGGGAAGATTCCGTCCTTTTGTATGTTTTGGAATAGTTTGAGTAGGATTGGTATTCTTCTCTGAAAGTTTGGTAGACTTCTCCGGTGAAACTCTCCGTGTCAGGACTTTTTTTGTTGATAATTTTTTTTAAGACCTGTTCAATTTCTTCTTTTGTTTTGGGTCTGTTCAACTTTTCTACCTCAGTCTGTATTAGTCCAGGTAAGTAGTGTGTTTCTAGAAATCTGTCCATTTCTTCCAGATTTTCAAATCTGTTGCTGTATAGTTCTTCATAGTATCCTGATATTATCCTTTATATTTCAGTTGGGTCTGCTATGATGCATCCATTTCGTTTCTTATTCCTGCTGACCCAGAAGGTGGGTGTAAATGAGGGATGGCCACACCTCTGTTCACCAAGAGGGTGTGGGGTATAAGAGCAATAAGGGGAATAGCGTACCTTTCCAGTTGTTGGCATCCAGAATGTCCTTGTAGTTCCTGGCAAGTGGGGATTATTCTTAAGTCCCAGGAATCTGGGGGAATGCTGTCGCTTTAAATATCCAAAATGGTTGAACCACTTGTAAACATTCAAAATGACTGCACCCTCCAGATAGCCAAAATTCCATAGCTCAGCCCATCTCCTTCTTTGCTGCTTCCTCTTTTATTCACCAGCCACCAATGCAGTCCCTCCATGCGGCCTATGGCTAGCAGGGCCAATTTTTAGTTCAAGTCTTAGGTCCTAACACCACCTGGCAACATCCAAGCTGTCCATGCCATCAGGATCACTGACAGACAGCAGCTCCATTATGTCTCCTTTTTCTGTGTTTTCATGAAGGTTCTTCTACCAGTTGGAGTTTAGTCCACTTCTATATCCTTCCCTTTCAAAGCTCAGGGCTCCAGGATTATCTTCTGTATCTGTGTTAATTGGTCCCCCTTTTCTTTGTTGAAGAGGATTTGTGTAGTTTGTCTGCTTATTCCATCACCTTATCAGAAACCCCATCATCTGATTTCTTGAATTGCTACTTCCATGGGCATAGACTATGGATATAAGTGAAATGAAATGCTTGGCAACTTCAATATTTTCTCCATGTATATTGTGATGTTGCTTATTGGTCTAGTCATGAGGATTTTTGTTTTCTTTATATTGAGGTATAATCAGTAAGTGCTTCAAGCCCTCTTCACTTGCAGCAAACAAGATTGTGTCATCTGCATATCTAGTGCAGATTGTCCATGGGTCTTCCTCCAATCCTGATGTGGTGGACTATTTGCTTAGCATACAGATTGAATTAAGTATGATGAAAGGACACAATCGTGACACATACCTTTCCTGATTTGAAACCATGCAGTATCACCTTGTACTTTTCAAATGACTACCTCTTGTTCTATGTACAGCTTCTACATGAGCACAACTGAGTGTATGGAATGCCCATTGTTCATAATGTTATTCGTAATCTGTTATGCTCCTTATAGATGAATGCTTTTGCATAATCAAGAAAACACAGGTAAACATCTTTCTGGTATTCTCTGCTTTTAGCCAAGATCTATCAGACATGAGCAATGATATCACTCATTTCATATCCTCTTCTGAATTTAGCTTGAACTTCTGGCTGTCACCTGTCAATGAACTGTTACAACCGTTTCTGAATTATTTTTAGCATAAATTTACTTGTGTAAAAAACTCATCACATTTACTGATGGGGATAATCATTTTTACCTCCTGGGGTTGTTTTGAAGGCATTCTAGTACACAGTGCCTGAGGGATTTGACTGCTAACCAGAAGGATGACAGTTCAAACCCACCAGTCACTCCACAGAAGGAAGATGGGGCAATGTACTTCTGTAAGATTTACCACCTTGAAAACCCAATAGGGTTGCTAGGAGGTGGAATCAACTTGATGGCAGTGGATTTGATTGGTTTTTTTGCTTGGGGTTATTTTGAGAACCAAAGATCCTTCTGTAAATGACCCAGTGCAGTGCTTGCCACATACCAAGCAGTACCTCAAGAAATGGTGGATATGGTTAGTGGTATATTTACCTCAATATTCTTCATACACAGCTTTGTGGCTGCTGGCTCAGAGGCAATTAGTGTCAGTTTTATGAGTACACAAATAGAAATCTCTGTGTCTCTAGGATTTCTTTTGTTCTTTTTTCCCCTTAATCTCAAGCTACAAACAGAAGCCTAACCTCAAGATAGCCCAGAAAAGCTACATTTTGTTTCCATTTCTTTCAAGCAGGAACCTTTAGACAGTGCCTCTCTCTGTGATGCACCACTTTGCTGACCCCTAAATCTCCCCTCATCCAGTGTACTTTATCTACATTAACTCATTCAACCTGGTTGTACTGTAGTACAGGAGCATTAGGGGGTCAAACAGGCTGTTCGTGCTGTCTTGGGAACATCAACAGACCTTTATGCACTGCCTGATATGTACCAAGTACTGATCAAGGCACTAGGCAGAACACTGAAGAAATTTAAAAAGATTTCTACTTCCATTAAGTTTACATTCTAGGGAGAAGTCAGACTACAAAACATACATACATACATACATACATACATAAATAAAACACATACACACAACACAGGGCATCAGGGAGTAGCAAGTCATATGGATCAGAGAAGATGTGCTACTTAAAAAAGAGTGTTCAGGAAGGTAGAGTCTTGAATGAAGTTCAAGAGTAAATATACAAATATACAGGGGAAAATATTCAAAGGGAGGTTAATAGCAAGCACAAAACCTTGATGTGAGAGTGAGCTTAGAGTGTTTGAGGAGCAGAAAGGAAGTCAGTGTGGCTAGAATACAGTGATCAAGGTAGAAAGAAGTAGACAAGCAGGCCTTACTCTATAGCTCCTGAAGGTTAAGTAAAAACCAAACCAAACCCATTGCCATCGAGTCGGATCCGACTCATAGTGACCCCTCCTTAGGTTTCCGAGGTGGTATCACTATGGAAGTAGATTGCCCAATCTTCCTTTTGAGGAGTGGCTGGTGGGTTTGAACTGCCACCCTTCTGGTTAGCAGTCAAATGCCTTAGGCACTATGCCACCAGAGCTCCCAAAGTTTAGGTAGGGACCTCAAATTTTATTTTGAGGAGGTAGAAAGTACTCTGGAAGATTCTGAGTCATCCTTGTTTTCCGTTTTAATTAAAATTTTTTTTGTTGTTGAAAATATACACAGCAAAACACAAACCAACTCAATAATTTCTACATGTTCTATCAATAAAACTGATTACATTCTTCAATTATACAACCATTTATACCCTCCTTTTCCAAACCATTCCTCCCCTACTGACATGAACTCTGCCCCATAAGCCTCCTATCTAACCTTTCAAGTTACTGCTGTCAGTTTGATCCCATATAGACAGTTCTTTACAAGAGCACAATGCTCAAGGCAGCCATCCTTGTTTAAAAAGGTTCACATTAGTGGCTATGTTGAGAATATGCTCAAGAGAGTCAAGGGTAGCAGCAGGGAAATCAGTTCAAAAGATTGTGCAATGGCCTAAGCAAGAGATGACCATGGTGGGAGAGACAGAGGGGAGTGGAATGTGGTCAGGTTCTAGAGAGACCTAAAAGTTTATAATTCAAGTAGAATTTTAAATATAAAATTATTTGTACACAAATTGGACGCAGGCAATGAGAGAATAAAGAAAACCATAACTGATCACTTTCTCCTTACCTCCTTCTAGATTTCCAGTTTCTTTTGTCAATTATTACCTTCTTCCCTTTCCCCCTCACTTACAACTAATAATTTTAAATTTCTCAAAATAACATTAATATTCATTTTATAACATCTACGTCAAAGCAGGTGTGGGTAGCAGGTGGTAAGATATGGAGAATGACAGGAAAGGAGGGCTGTAAAAATGTAGCCTTGGAAACCCTATGGGTTGGCATCGACTCAGTGGCAACAGCATTGGTTTGGTGTGTCTATATAACTTAGAGCAAACATCTCATCATAGAAAATAATCTGGTGTTTATTGAAAACATGTCTGAATTGAATAGTTTATGACCTAAAGTCATTTCAATTTAGGGAAAAAAACTCGATGTTCACGTACTTCTATTGTATATGGTCTATCTTTTATTGCCCCTATGTATTTTAATATTTATGATTTAAATGAATCTTGAGTATATCAAAAGTACTGCCTGAAAAATATAAATTATAATGAGCTTTTATTATTTAAAAAGATGACAATATTAGCTGAGTCAGTAACAAACAGGCATAGCCCTATTTCTAGGCCTCTGACTTTTTTACCAACCTGAAGAGGTCTCCAAATTTACTTCTGAGGTGGCTACATGACACGTAGAGATCATAGAGGTAGGCTAAGATGCATCTTTCAGGGGAAGAACATTCTGAGGGGTTAACAACATGCTTGACCACACCACACAACCTGAGAAAGAAAATATATGAAGAAATCAGATCTGCATCTTCTAATATATGTACTATCATTTGAATCTTTTAGAGTAGGAACACATCTTTGTTTTACTTGGGTAAGGAAAAAAGATTATCCGGTGATTAAAACTAATCATTATAGCAAATAGCGAATAACTGCATATAGTGTCATATTTCTATTATGATACTGAACAGGTAGATTTTTAAAAATGCCATTAACAGTAAGAAATGAAAGAGTTCTGAGAATATGTACGGCCAAATCCATCAGCTAAGTTGCTGTGACTAGAACATAAAAGGGAGTTGCAGTAGAGAACTTCTCTTTAGCAGAAAGATCCATAAATTCAGAGAGTTTGCTAAGATACTCAAGTTCACTCCTTTGTAAAGGAGAGATTTCTTCAAACCAGTAAATCTGAGGAATCCATTTTCAAGAGCACAAGCTGGTGCTTGCACAAACTTGATAAAGTCATGGTTTGGGTCACAACCCCCTTGCTTATACAAACTGGAAACAAATTTATTTTATAGTTTATCTTACATAAAACTTAAAATCCCTTCATTATTGACTTGCTCTGTAATTTTTTCAATTCAGAAGTACCATTACTACTCTAATTCTGTGCCTCTAATCCCAGTCAGAACTGTGACCTCTTTGGAAGCCAATAGAGAAGTAAACACTAATGGTCAACCCACCGAGATGTGAATCTGATTCTGCTGCCATTCTGTATTATTACTGAGTTCAGCCACAAGGTAGTGTCATAAATGATCCAGACTATTAAAGCATCTGGTTCATCTTTTCTCAAAGAGACTCTGGGGTTCCGAAGAGTAAACACTTGTCCAAAGGCAAAGAGTTAATTCATAGCAAAGTAGTGATGTTGTTGTTGTTTGCCGTCGAGTTGGCCCCGACTCACAGCGACCCCTCCTTGGGTTTCCGAGGCAGTATCACTACAGAAGTAGGATTGCCCAACCTTCCTTCCGAGGAGTGGCTGGTGGGTTTGAATCGCCAGCCTTCTGGTGAGCAGTCAAGTGCCTTAGGCACTATGCTACCAGAGCTCCTAAGTGGTATCGCCTTGGAAACCCAAGGAGGTGTCACTATGAGTCGGGACCAACTCAACAGCATATAACAACAATAACAATATTAATTAATTCTAGGGTAAATTTTTTCTCACACTGAAATGTTTCAGATTTCACTTTACAACCTTCGTGTACAATTAAAGTGGTACCATTTCAGTTTCCCCCAGAAAAGCTGCTGCCAAACGGATGTCATCTAGGATGGATTATAAATTGGTTATGTACAAGATTATCCAAAAAAGTGACTGTGGGACCAAGGAGCCTCATGACTCTTTGGAGCCCCAGGGGGTGGAGGATACGAATGGAAGAAAAAAAGCAGTTTGTCTCTTTTTAAAATAAGCTCTGAGGAAAGGAGTGGGACATGGCTAAAAAGGAGCATAGTATAGGTGCAGTATAGTTGTTTTAAGACCTCAGCTGTTTCCTTGTACCTGTTAACCTAAGTCTCTAATGGGAATGATATTAGGTAGTCCCTTCAACCCAAATTCACTAGCAGTAATAGAGTAAACCTTAGCCTACAATACACACAAACCAAGAAAGACTGGGAATCTGAGACTCTAGAAAGTCATTTGCTCTACATTAACCTGTCAAAAACTATTTTTCCAATCAATCCAAGAAATGAAATTGAAGAAGCACATCTCTAAAATGACAATGCGGCCAAGATTACTTGGTGTTGGATTCCTAAATGTGAATACTGACAACTGAAATTACTTGAACAAACCAGCTGTCAACTATTCACTACTCATCATAAGTCATGGGGCTGGGGAGCATAAATGGTAGAGTACTGTCATTGCCTAGGTTTGTTCCCTTAAAAGCAGGAGGAGGGAAAGAAGGACGGCAGAGGAGGCATTGAGGAAGGGAGGCAGGAAACATACTTTTTACTAAAAGAACATACTTTACATGCTTTTATTTCTTTCTCTTAAAAATGTTTTTTGGTAAAAGAATTCTTCAACTATATTATATCCTTGTAATAACAAACACAAACACCAGTACTGCATGTCTTTTAAAACCACTCTAATATTTAATCACAAACTATACACTTCAGGATTTGAAAATAATAAAGACATATTGTATACCAACCCTTCAAACACCTGGGCTGTTTGATCAGGATTCAAAATCAGACAACTATGGTACCGCCTCAGAACAGCCACAATGCAGACACACAGTCCCGTTGTGTAACTTCCTGCCAGGCTGGAAGATTTTAGGAGCAGTTCAGCTTCCACAACACTCAGTTCATTCAGTAGCTACAACAGAAAATAAGACTGAATAAAAATGTAGTTTCCAAAACAAAGAAGTAAACACTTGCTTTTACAAACCACGAACATACTGAGACATCCTAATACTATTTGATCCCCCTAAGGCATCTGACTGCTAACCAGAAGACTAGTAGTTCAAACCTACCAGCCACTCCTTGAAAGGAAGGTTGGATAATCTACTTCTGTAGTGATACTGCCTCAGAAACCTAAGGAGGGGCTGCTATGCATTGGATCTGACAGAACAGCAATGAGGTTTTTACTTTTTTTTTCCCACCCTGCCCCAAGTCCATATAGGTACGTGACTGTTGTCTTAGAAAACAGAACCTGGTGAATTAAATTATATTTTACTCCTTTACTAGTTTATAGTTTGTTTGTTGTCTTTTTCTGTCCAGACATCATGGTGCAACCAGGAAGTATCTACCACTGAAAGTTACTGAAACTTCTGGTGGCCCAAAGTTCTGGCTGGATATTTCCAAAGGGTACCTACCCTTACTCCTCACTTTTCCCCCCTTTTCCTTTCTCTTTAATAAGGTGGAGCTAATTTATCATCATCTGCTTACTAACAACACAGCTATCTCCTCCAATACAATAAGCAAAGGAAAGTAAGTCTTATATCCATTCAGTAACAACAGGAGATAATAAATGAACTCAAGTATGTGCATGATAAATATAGTAACAAACCAAATCATAAGGTTTTTCCTTTTCCTTTTAATCTAAAATATATTATAGAGAGCAAATAAACTCTCATTTTGCCATAAATAACAAAACACATGCACAGAAACTCAAAGCTCCATTTTAAATGGCTATAAGATATTTCAGCAGCAATTATAATTTAATTGGAAAAATATGAACACAGTTGCAACTGAAAACATGAGGTGAAGACTGTTGACAGGGCAAACAGAAATGCCACCACATTAATTGTACACATAGGTTATAAAGTGCAATCTGAAACTATAGCTGCTCACATGCCTTAAAGAAAAAAAAAAAACTCATTGCCATCGAGTTGGATCTGACTCCTACTGAACCCTCTTTGGGTTTCCAAGGTGGTGGTATAGTGCTTAAGGCATGTGACTGCTAACTGGAAGGCTGGCAGTTCAAACCCACTAGCCACTCCTTGGAAGGAAGAGCAGGCAATCTACTTCCATAATGATATTGCCTCAGAAACCCAAGGAGGGGGGTCACTAGGAGTCCAATCTGACTCGATGGTAATGAATTTGTTTTTATTCACGTGGCATGAGTATATTTAAAATGCCTCATTTATTTAGATTGTACCGGGCCCTTAAGATAGTGTTAATGCATAAAGTGTGGCTATCTTAATATTTTAAATTGCACAATGCCAAGTAGGTTAGATTTCCCCCAAACGAGAGAAACCTGGTCTCTTTGCCACCTGTATTGCAAAGTCAATTAGTCCATTGATGTTCAGCGCTGGCTCCATGAGATCAAAGATAAGCTGAATATGGTGAGCCAGAGGTAGATGATAGGATGTTCCCGATGCAAAGCTTGTGATTTGTTCCAGCACATTGTTAGAGATCTATGTAAAAATGAAAATAATTATGAGGATGAATATTCCAAAGAATTATTTACTTGGATTACTTTAATTTTTTAAATAAGACATTTGAATTTATATGTGATTTTGATCAGAAGAAAGTTCAAACATCCTACAGAAAGAAAAGCCATATAAAAATGAAGACAACTTCTTACTACAACTGTGATTTGAAGAAACATGCCAAGAGGTCATTAAGATCTAGACTTTGACTATCACAAAGGTAGAACAACTACAGATATTAATCAATTTCCAAAAATACCTTCTGGAATATGAATGGATTTACAAAGCAAAACTAATTTGGTTTCCCCTCTATTTCAGAGTATTTTATTTCAGTTATCAACAGATTTCCCTCATCAATAGCAATATACAACCAAAATGTAACGACATAGGTATTGTACTGGAGATTAGTTTATGTTGCTTATTATTATCACAAAGTAAAATTACTTGTAAGTGCTGTCAAGTCTATTCAGTTCATGGTGACCCCATGTAACAGAGGAGAACTGCCCAATAGGGCTTTCCTCGCTGTAATCTTGACAGGAGCAGATCACCAGGCCTCTCTCCCTCAGAGCCACTGTGTGGGTTCAAATTGCCAACCTTTTGGTAGCACGCTAGCACTTACCAGGGCTCCTTTATAAAAACTAATTCTTCTGAGAAAGGCAACTTGACACTTAGAAATGAACAACTCAAAAGTCTAGAATGTTTCTACATGTGTTTATAAAATGTATTTATGAAATCAACTAAGGCTGAAAATATATATATTTCATGAAAGATTTTTAGGGAGGTATACATATCCCAAATGCACATTAAAGCAGCTTTAAATGGCTACCTGAGATGTCACTTGATGCTGATCAAAGTAAGAAAGGAGCTGAAGTTTTGTGAACACAGTCTCCAGTGTTGGAAATGCTTCTTGCTTGCTCTTTCTGGCTTTTTGTCCTTCCTCCCCACCTAAGTTAACAAAAGGCAGATATGCTATTTTCCATTTATGAGATGCTCTGAACTTTTTAAACGGATATTTTTTACATACAACATACAACATACGTACCAAAAAATACATAAACTCTGAGAGTTTCTACAAAGTGAACACATTCAGCTAATGAGACCCAAATCAGGAAAACAACATACCACAACTCCAGAAAGCCCCTTGAACCCTGTCCAGTCATTTCTCTCTCCCCAGGGGACCAAGATCCTGACTTCTATCATCTTTGATTCATACTGTCCTTTGTGGAATCACACAGTATATACTTTTTTAAGGGTGGCTTCTTTTACTCAGCATTATGATTATGAGATTAATCTATACTGTTACAAGTAATTTTAATTTGTTCATTCTCATTTATGTACGTATTCTAATGTATAAAGATACTACTATTTTCTTATCCACTCTTACTGAGTAGTTTCCAGATTTAAGCTATTATGAAAAGTGCTTCTATGAACATTTCTAACTGACTTTTAAAATACTATGATACTAACAGTGAAGGGGGAATAAAACTACCCAGCCTCACTTAGACATAACAGACACTGGTATCTCTTAGGAGACCCAACCTTTGTACGTTTCTCACAGTTAACTGTGAAGGGAGAAAAAAAAAAAAGAAAAGAAAAAAAGAGAGCATACAATTCCTAATTCTTTTAAGAGTACCAAAGACTTCAATTACTTGCATTAATGGGAAAATGCTAGTTTTATCAATTTAGCATGGACAAGTCTGGAGAAAATTCTGATAAAAAATATACTAAACACTGCTATTTCCAGAGGGATAGTTCTTAACAGTTCTAAGACTAAGATTCAAAACTAAATAAAATCCTAATTTTTTTAACATTATTAACTTACAAAGTCAAATTTAAAAACAAAAAGAAACTGTTAGACTACTTCTAAGGTCATTTCCAACGCTCTGCTTCCAAATAGTTAAAGGCTATATGGAAGATAAGCACTGCCACTCACTTCTCATTTAGGAAAGTTTAGTTTCAGAGAATAAATGTCACTTTACAGATTTCTCCATTAAAGACATGAACAATAAACAAGATATCATTGAATTGAAAAACACTTTGCTAAAGGCAAATGTAATGATTTTAGAAATTATTTTAGAAGATGTTTTCAACAATATGCAATTACAGTCTGGAGTTTAAAAAATACAGTCTATTATCTCATAACTTATTTTAAAAAGAAAGAAAAAAAAAAGTCACCTTGATACCAAAGCAAAAGAGGTATCAGAACAAAAGAAGGGTTGGTGTAACATAAAGTGGAGAATTGAGTCACTTCTATCAAGGAATACCAAATGTAATGCAAAGAGTAAGCACTGAGAAGTTCATCAAACCTACTCTCTCCACATCTGTTCTCAAAGGTACACATTAAGCATGAAACTACTTTCACTATAGCTGTTCACATGCCATGAGTATGTTTAAAATATTTAATTTCTGCATTTTTTTACTAACATCACTGACCCAAGGCCAAAGAGCTTACACGAATAGCCTTATTTGTGTACATGTGTTTTAAAAAGGGAATTTAAGGTATGTGGTCAATGACTTTTTTGGGACCAAAACAAATACACAGAACAGCTGACCTGAGGAAACAGACCCCGCACGAGAACTCATAAATGCAACTTTTTTTTTATGAGGGAGAAATGGACCCAGTAGGCTCCATCTACCTACAGAGTTAACTTCTTAAAGCCTCATATAAAAGATAAAACAACTACTCCTCCCTCATAAACTATCTAGTTATTTGACATTTCACATTTACAACAATAACAAAAGATCTGCTTAAATCACTTCAGAGTCAGATAAGGACCCATGTGTTTTAAGTGAGAGAATGCCTCCCTCTTGAGCCCCAAAGCATTGATTCCTCCCATCCCATCCCTGCCCCCACCTAAATAGGAAAGGAAGGAAAAAAAAAATCCAGATGCTGGGGCCTTGAGCCATTAACCTTCATGCTCCAGAGCCTTATCACATTGGCTTTGGGCCACAAGAAGGCAACAGAGGGGCACAATCAGGATGCATGGCAGTCACCGTATACCCCCAAGAGCCACTGTCTGCCCACCTGAGGGCACTGAAACCAGTGGGAGGTGGTCTTGGATGGGTGGGTGTTTCCATGGAGAACAACAACTCCATATGTGGGTCAGAGCAGTGTGAGCTGCACAACCTGACCCTGTTAGCTCTACCTGTGGTTTGAAATTACACAAGCTGACCCACCTGCACTTAGGCCAAGTACGGAAGTCATAGTGTGGAGACCAGCTGGCGGCAGACAGAGGCTGTAGGGGAGGTAGCAGCCCCACAGTGCTGCCTCTGAGATGACGCCCAGAGCTTGAAGAGCATGTGGTCACTGAAGCTTCACATAAGACCAATTTTCACATAACAACCTGCTCTTTGCACCCTAACTATGTTGATAAGTAAGGAGTGGATATAGTCATCATTCTAAAAACCATCATTCTAATGATGTTTGGCAGCTTATATCCAATTTCAAAGAAAAATATAGGAAATTAATGGCATTTATCAATACATTATTTTAATCATATTTACATAAGTATCCATGCAGTCATAATACTCAGATTTACCTCATTTGTTAATTTATAATATATATTATTGCTGTTTTGTGGCTTAATTTTGCTTATCTGTTTTTTTAAAAAAAATGTTTTGGCCTTTTAGAGATTATTAGTGAACTTCCTTAATGTTTCAAAAGACACATCATTGACAATGGAAAAAGATGACTATCAATGCAAATGTAAAATGACATTTTCAACTGGAAATGTTACTTACATTTGAGATTTAGTCAAGTCCTGGCTGAACTGAGAACACTTCTGCTTTGGTTACTTCGTGTTGCCATAACAGAATAATCCCTCAGATGGGATGGCTTTAAGGAGTTTATTCTCTTACAATTTTGGAGGCTAGAAGTCCGAGTTCCAAGTGCCAGGTTCTAGGGCCTGGGTGAGAGCCCCTTGACTTTGGGCTTCAGCTCTGCCTCTTGCTCCCGGCCCACTGGAGCTGGAGGCTTTCTTCACTGAGGCAGCAGCTAGTTGCTAAGGCTGACAAGCCCAAGGTTGACAAGCCCAAGGTCAGCAAGTAAAATGGCACAGTCCCAATACTACCAAATCACACAGCAGGCCATTGATTCAAGTTCATTAAGAATCCCAAGATCACCTGACAACACGGCAGGCTGCTGAATAACGACTCAGTTACATGCAGAAGGCAAGTTGCTAAAAGCTGGAGACCTCTTCCTCAAGGTTGCTTCTTATATATTAGAAGCAGATCACATCCCTAAAGCAGCTATTCAGCTGCTCCAGTAGGTTCCACCATGGAGTTAATTACCAATCGCATCATGGGGAATAACTCCATCCAGCTGCCTAGTCACTCAAAACCAGCAGACAAGTTGACCCATAACTGTAACTACCACAACTTCTAAAGGGTTTTCCAAAATTATATTTTTATGTGTTCTCAGAAACCAAATACATGACAACCAAGCTCTATTTTCCTACCAGTTCCATCCTGGCTGGAAAAAGTGCATACATTTCCATTAATCTGCAGTACAGTTAACTAACTTCTGGTGACCATACTAGATTTTAAGGAGTGATTTAAACTTAGATTATCCACTAGAAGGTAGCTCACTGCTCTCAAGTTCACATCTTTCTGAGGATGCCTTTATGCACTCATGCTTCTAATTACTGATATCTCAAAAAAGCAGCATGAGTAACAATGAGTATTCTCTCCCTGAATTCACAAGTGGGAACTGCCTATCTAAGGCACTGGTACAAAGATAGGATAGACTGCAGTCTGGCCTGAAAAAGCTCTTTGTGAAGGAAGGAAGCCAACTCAACAGAAAAAGATACCACATTGCTTTCCTCTCCTCTCCACCCCCCTCATCCCTCCAAAGCCAAGAAATCCACAGTATCTGGAAAGCTTCTCTAAAATTAGTTTAGACAAAACATGCATTACTGAGCCACCTAAAGGAGACAGTGTTCACCCAATTTCCATGAAACCACAAAAAGTGGCTTCAAATATTCTTGCTAACTAGTTAAGGGCTTGATTGTCCTTCTAAATTCAATCTATTTCCTCTTTTCTCCAGGAGAGAGAAAACAGCTAAATAACAGATCAACAGTTTTCTTAGACACAAGCAAATTCTTTTTCAAGCTCAATGATGACAGGCCAACAAGAGGGTTTCACTTCCCTCACTCCAACATTTGGTTGTTCCCTAATGGAGTCAGTAGATTACACAGTCCTTAATAGGCAGTGGAAGGGAGGTACTGAATGTGACATAAATCATGTGAAGGTGCCTTTCCCATTGTGTACTAAGGTCTGTTACTTTAGGAATCAGACACTCAGAACACCATATTCAGACTGAAAACATACTGCCTTTGTAGTATATATTTCTGCATGTGCTTCTCTATTGTTTGAGAGGAAAGAGAAGCTATTTGTAATATTTATATGTGTACTTTTCTCTAGGAAAGATCTAGTGCAGATAACCTCAAATAATTAATCCTCCTACAGCCTAAAGACTGGATCCTCTGTGGAGAAGTTCATTAAAAAAATGTATTTATCTTGTATTGAACAATGCAGTAGGTTTCCTAGAGGTGGTTTATACCATGTGTAGGTAGAATGCTGTATATGGAGGGTAAATCCATGCATTGATTTCTTTACGCTATTTAAGTGCTAGAAAAATAAATACCAATGTTGACAGTGAGGTATATGTAATATCATCATATTTAAATCATATGATTGCCTAATGGAATAAACCTTGAAAAGAGTAATTAGGCAAATATGAAGTGGATAATTACAAAATACTAATTATGTAATGTAGTGACATAATAAAAGCATACCTTCACTGTGAAAACTATGTAAAAAGCATGGGAAAAGAATATTTCAAGTAAAATAATCAAGTTAATTCTGACTCAAAGTGACCCCCATTGGGTTTCTGAGGCTGTAAATCTTTACATAAGCAGACTGCCTCTCTTCCTCCCACGGAGCAGCTGGTAGGTTTGAACCATCGGCCTTCTGGTTAGCTGGCAAGGGCCTTACCCACTATGCTATCTATGTTGTTGTTGTTGTTATGTGCCATTGAGTTGGACCCGACCCATAGCGACCCCTCCTTGGGTTTCCGAGGCAGTATCACTATGGAAGTAGATTGCCCCATCTTCCTTCCGAGGAGTGGCTAGTGGGTTTGAACTGCCAGCCTTCTGGTTAGCAGTCAAGTGCCTTAGCCCCTATGCTACCAGAGCTCCCATGCTATCTATAGAATATGCTATTTTAATACAAGCATTAGTATAAATGGAAAGCAGGCCTTACAATTTAAATGACCACATAAATGCTTATTCATATGTCAACATCACAGTCATTCAGGAGAGGAAATACTCTGGTGACTGTGACATGTACCACTCTGATAAAGACTCTGCTAAGAGGGACGATGAATGACAACAAAATAGGAGCAAATGCATTCAGGCTCTTTACCCCCTGTCTCTGTGGTGCTCTTCTTGTTTAGAATTTTCAGGATATCTTTGGTAATCTTCTTCAGCTGATGCCTTGCTTCATCACGCTCTTTGCCAACTCCGTAGAGAAGGATTGTGCGCTGGTTACATTCATGACTTGAAGATTCATCCTGAAAAACAGAAAATGCATTATGAAGCTCTTGTTTGCAAGGGTGGGGCTGCATTTCACAGCCACGAAATGCATTAACCACAGCATCTCCATGCTGGTTTGCAGTGGTGGCATTATTCTCACCTTTCAATTCACCTCAACCTCTACTGGCAACACCCTTGTTTTTCCAGTTTGGAACTTGCTAAAGTAAAAAAAAGTGTCAACTGACCTGTGAAGTCTTAATAGAAGCATTTGATGTGGGCGTACCCTACATAGTAAGTTTTGGCTATTGAAAAACTTTTTTTTTTTTTTAATTTAACATGGTATTATTTCACATAAAGTAACATATCTAGCCATACTTCTCCCTTAAGGTAAATGTTATTTCTTTTAATAAGCTTGGTTTCATATATGTACAATATTAAATATTCTATAATTTGAAAAAAAATATTTTGTAAAGATCCTCAAGTAAGTTTATAAGAAATAGTCCATTTACTTCCAACAAGAGTATGTGAGATACATTTATACTTATTTCAAAATGACAACATTATTAATAATGAGTTGTAGGTATCATTAGGTGTGAGGTAAATCACTGGAAATTCAAACATGTTCTAACACCACCACCCTTCCTACTGCATACACATGCCCACCTCACAGACAGTGAATCCAAGCACTATTTTCTCTCACATGAGAAAGGAAATTATTTAGTCACAACGTAACCACAACATTTATATATTGCTAAACACATTCCTTAGGGTAGTTCAGGAAGTGGTATTTCTCTTAAGCCTGGTTTTAAATTTTTATATAGAAATGTTTCTCTTAGATATTACAGTCTTAAATATTCTCAGTCAAATTTCCAGGTCTATCCTTTACTACAATTCCTTTTCTTACTTTGTACATCTTTTTTCCATGGTAGGCACTTACCCTTCCTAGAAGCATTTTCTCCTAAATAGCTTACATAAGAAAAGAACTCCTCCCAGGGAACACCATCTGTATTGTGTTAACAAGTAGTAATGGTTACAACAAAGAGCAAAAACCTTCAGAGTTGGAGAATTTCAATGTTTAATTTGGAGTAATCCACATGTATAACCTCCCAAGTAGCATTTTGCTTCTGTCCTCTTGTCATAAGAGCTCATTTACCCTTTCAGATTCTGTCACTTAGCTTTCCATCTCTGTCTTTTTGTTGGTCCATCTTTCATGCACACTTGCATTCAGGACACCACTTCCCATTTTGCTGGTTCCTTTTTTATTTTACTCCTGAAATATACATATGTATACCCTGCCAATCTCTCTTACTACTCTGCTCCCAAACAATGCTTAATATTTCAGAGGCATTCAAATTTTCTTCTTTTTTAAAAAAAAGAAAGAAAGAAAGAAAAACCTGGGAGATTTTCCCTCAGAAGCTTTCCGCAGAAATGGTCCTTATTTAATATTCTGAGTATCCTAGAACTAGAACCAGAGCCAGCTGCCAGCGTGTATACTCTGACTCATGTCCACTTCATGCATGTCTGAGGAGTTGTGCTTCACAGGGTTTGCAATGGTTGATTTTTTAGAAGTAGACTGTCAAGCTTTTCCTCTGAGGTGCCTCTGGATGGACTCGAAAGTCTAACCTTTTGGTTAACAGCTGAGCACATGAACTGGTTGCACTACCTAGGGACTACTGAGTATCCCAACCTCCTCCAAATTCTTTTAAGACAGATCCATTAAGATAAAATCTACATAGGCCACTGACTCCTACACCTGGCTGCACTTCTGAATGACGTGAGCTGCTTGTTAATCTCCCATTTTTTGTTGTTGTTACACAACATTACTGAGTTATTTTTCTTTTTGTCTGGCAGGATGTGTACATATGAGCCCCATGAGGAAACTGGAAGCACTGGGAAAATGGTACAAAATTAGGCAGTGACAGTCATGTACCTGGTGATTATTTTTAGAAGTTAAGGTACATGTAAAATGGTTCTAATATAAACCTCTATATGAAGGGTGATTTTTGTAGAGTATTTATTCAGGGCAAGACAATGTGCTAGAAAATATGAGAAAATATAAGGATGAATGTCTTCTGTTCCCATGGGACTCACATTTAGTGCAAAAGAAGTATTTGCAGAGCTGTTGCTGTTGTTAGCTTATGTCGGTTTGGCCCCTGACACATGGGCAGCCCAGGCAAAATGGGATCAAGAGTGTTGTGACCCATAGGGTTTCAGCAGCTGATTTTCAGAAGTGGACTGTCAGGTCTTTCTTCTTAGTCTGTATTAGTCTGGAAGTACCGCTGAAAGCTGCTCAGCATCATAGCAATTCATAAATGTCCACTGACAGAAAGGTGGTGGCTGGGCAGGAAGTGCACTGGCCAAGAATGGAACCCACGTATCCCATGTGGGAGGTGAGGATTCTATCACTGACCACCACTGCTCTCATTTGCACAGCTCAAAGAGTGAGAACAAGGATGGTAAGGGAAGGTGCACTGGAAAACACCCAGGCACCCATCATAGCAGCATAGGACAACCATGACTTCACAGTACTGGAGACACTGTATCAAAACAAACCACCCAAGCTTGGGAGTAAGAGAGTTGTAAATAGATTCTAGGTCAGCTGCTTGCCAAGTATATGATTCTGGATAATAAGTCTCCAACTACTTCTGAAAAATGGGAGACCACCACTTTCCTTGTAAAAGTTTTATGAGAATAACTGAGACGAAGTATATGCAATGCTCAGGAGCATACTGGGCACAGCCTCATTACTGCCCATTCATACTTCTAGACTTCCACTCTTCTCTTTCCATGCACCCCACACCAACTCTGCACTCTACTACTAAAATTTCCCAAAGACTCTGGCATGTCCTTCCTTTGCTGTTGCACCACTGGCCACTAAAAATACTCCCAACAACCTCAATTTCACTTGCTGAAATGTTTCGTATTATTTCACGGTTCAGGTCTCTCACTTTGTAACCCCATTTAGTGAAAGTCCTCACCAAAGAAGAAGCAGGGCTGGAAGAGTGTCTGCGGAGCATTTACCATGGTGTGATTCACTTCTTAAGCATTTATTTGCTTAATGCCTGTCTTACCCCCTAAACTGCACATTTTGCGAGGGAGAAATTCATGTCCGTTTTGTCCATGTCTGTATTCTCCTTAATCAACATGAGGAGCCACCTAATATTTGTTTAATACACTAAATACTAACTAAACAAGTGAACTAATGAACAAACACATGGCTAAAGGAGTAAGGTAGGGATGAAAATAAGAACAAGATCTAGATTTGCAGGACACTTTAACCTGATAATTTAGTTTTGGGAAAACAGAAGAGGGGAAATGAGAGGCAGATAGTAAGCTTGAGCAAACACGTGCATAGGATCAGCACTAGGCTTGAGAGGTGGGAATGAAAAATAAGTAAAATAGAGGTATATGAGGAAGCTAGGAAAGCTTCTGAGTGAATATGCAACTCACTGGATTTGAAAATGGACTCACTAGAGAAAATTTCTTGCCAAAAACAACAAAAAAAGTAGTTTATGAGGACTAATGAATTCACCTTTAGATACAAGGAATCTGAAGGAATTAGTGGACATGTATTATAAATTCTAGTAGGTGGTATGAAGTGGGATGCAGAGATGAAAGCTCAGGGGTGATATGTCAAGTCATGGGAGGGGTACAAACTTCCCTATTCTCTTTAGGGGAGAAGAGAAAGGAGAACTGAGTTGGTAGAGAGCATAAATAAAGCATCAAATGATGGACACACACTGTCCACAATTAATGAGATGATGTGTGCCATAGCGTCACAGAAGTCAGGGAGGGGGCACTTAACAAGGGCCATCAACTATGTCAATGTGGTTAGGAAGTCACGATGGATAAGCTTCTCTCTGACTTGTTAAAAATCCATGTGTGAAGAAGTTTCTCTAGAATGGATGGGACAGAAAACAGAAAACAGGGGTTGATGAAATGATGAAGGCTAGGGAAGGAACCCACATTTACTAGTGGTTGGGCCTGGAGAACAGTGGTTTGAGAAGAGAAATTTTATTAGGATGACTGATGCCTAACTCTTATCTCAAGGGTGAAATAACAGTCCCCATAAAGGAGATAAAGATTGGAGGACAGGTAACTGATAATCAAGATTGGACAACAGGTAACTGACAAAGAAGATAGGAGATGATGGTCTTTTGTCTGGATTAATTTGGAAAGAGAGAAAGCAGTATCTTTCCACTTAACCACAAGGAAAAAGAAAGTTGGTAAAAGTACAGAGAAATGTGGAGGTGAAGTAGTGAGTAACTTGAAGAAGTTTGTATCAGTTCAATGGTCCTGATAAATGCTCAGGGAGTTGGACCTGAAGCCAAGACACGAGCTAAGAGTGAAGGGACAGAATGAAAAGGCAAGAACAGCATGCAGTTCAGTGGGGAAAAGTCACTGGTCCACCTCCACCTTGACGTGGTGTGGGAGGCAGTGTTTGTTGGTTACAGTTAATATTTCCAGGGAAATAATGATAGCTGTTACCTATCCAAAGAAAAGAAAAAAAAAAGCAGAGACATAGTAAAAGCTACTGTTTTCCAATGGCCTAAAAGATTTTTCCTACCAATCTTTTAAACAAATGTTCAAACAGGAATTTATATGAAACGAGAATAAAGTCAACCTAAAAAAACATACCAGATAATTCCAAATGTACCTATGATTTTCACTTTTTCAAGTATATATTAAAATACCCTCACATTGCATAGTTTAAGTAATATTAATGATCTGAGATGAATGGCAAAGAATTACTCTACTGTTTATTCCCTGAAGGGCACATTTGTTGGGCAAGAGTTAGAATTGACCAGAGAGCCTATAGAAGTGTTGCTATACCTTTCATGCTAGTCCACTGTTCCCTGCAGGTTGACGGTATCATCTCCCCTGTAAACTGAGCTCTGAAAATCTTATCCTCCAAATCACTTACTTTCTTTATCCAGATAGTATCTCATGATCACAAAGATTTGATTGATTAAAACAGTAAGAATATACAGGTCCAAAATGCCCAGGCAGGCTTGTCGTATGATAGGAATTATACTGTTTCTTGAGTCAAATATCATTGTAAGTGAGGTGAACTGAATTGATGTTTGCTTTTAATCTTTATTTCTTTAAAATAAGTCATGAGAAATATTGCTAAAATTGGTGCATATGTTCACAAAGATGTGAAAATTGTAGTCAGATTATAGGAGTTGTGTGTACTTTCACTTTATCTGTATTTTCTAATATTTTTACAATGACTCAAAAATCACAGAATTTTAAAATGAATAAATTAATAATCTTCTTAAAGGGAAAGAAAGAATTCTACCCAAATGTGCTTTCTTTTCCTCCAAATACTTATGAAAAATAGATGAAGCAGATGTAATTGCCCTTCTGATAAAGTTATAATATTCATACTTTCCCACACTCTTTAATTTTGTCTGTTTAATAATTCAAAAGAAAACCCAGTTTACATCATGAAGTAAATTGCACAGAGCATCCAACTTCATCTCCAGGAAAAGTAGGAAAAACTTGTTTTTAAAAGCAATCAATTTATTTAGCTAACATTTTTATTTTTGTTAACCTACTAAAATAAAGAATACTTAAAAGTTGCCTTCAAACATTATTTCTCTCAGTTGGTTCTCCCAATACACCAGACTATTGAATGTGTAATAAAATAACTTCAAATAAACGTTACATCAGAAATGCACCTTTAGCTGGGGGTGGAACAATGGGTATGAACATGTATGGGAGACGGTGAAAAGGAGCTGTATTAAATAAGGAAACACAAGCAAATTAATTAGCAACTTCTTCTCATTAGTAACTGCTGCTGACTTGGAGTAATTATTCTTTAAATCAAGAAAATAGAAGACCCATTTCATTAGATTTGTGTAGGAAATCTTTGTTCTACAATAGATTATAGTCTACAGTATGGCTGAAATGAGGCTTATCTCAAAAAAGTATAGTGTATTCTAAGGATGTAATGGATGTCAATGGGTTTAACTATATACACTATCCTCTGCTTTCAAGCAAAATACTCAAGATGGGAAAGATAAGAAATTAGATTACCATAAACAGTGTTCTCTTTTGCTATACCTCAATGTCCAAGACTCCTTAAGTTTGGAATCTGTTTTACATCTAACCTAAATTTCCATTCTCTGACCAGTAAAACCAAGCTAGCTGACATAATTAAGTACTGCTTTTAGAACTCATGTGGCTCAATCACAACTTTCATTAATGTACAAAGACCACACTTAGAATCATAAAACTGAAGAACTAAAATAGCCTAAGAGCTAACTTAATCCCTTCATGTAACTCCTTCCTGGTGCAGAAAGACAGTTCCACAAGGCCCACAGGATCCTATCACTGGAAAGAAGGGCCCTCTGTGCTCAGAGTAATTCCATTTGAAGGAAATATTCTCAGATGAGCAGACTACCTTTAGTAGACTTGGTACAATAAATAAGCCAATTAAACCCACCGGAGTGTACGTTAGTTCATTTTTCTAAGCCAGCTCAATAATGGGGGGAGGAGAGGATCAAAGCTAGCTCTGTTCCCAACAGTAATGTGTACATACAACTACACAACACATTTGTTGTTGTTGTTTAGTAATCACTTAAAACTAACGAGAGGTTAAACTGTACAACGTACTTTACTTCTTATTCATATAGATACAGAGTAATCATATATAAGATACTATACTTTTGTAATGGAAGACACATCACTTTTTAGTCATTTTCAGGGTGAAGTAGTATAAATGGATAACCAGCAGCCAACTTTTAATTAAAAAAATACAGTCAGAGAAGGTCCTCAAATGGGTGTGACTGTGAGTTAAAATTAGAAGACAGAACTAGTGCTTTTCTTTTATCTCCCAAATTCTCATTCACTGCCTACAAGGAAATTGAAAATACATATATTTAATGAGGTAGTGCTCTGGTGGCCTAGTGCCTAAGGCATTTGGCTGCTAACCAAAAGGCTGGTGGTTCAAACTTACCAGACACTCCTTGGAAGGAAGACTGGGCAATCTATTTCCACAGTGATACCGCCTCAGAACTCAAGGAGGGGTCACTATGAGTCGGATCCGACTTGACGGCAGTGAGTTTAGTTTTATAATTTAAGTATCCTGAATTAATTGTTCTTTAACGTGCAATATCAAGTATTGAAAATAGTTATTTTTTTTCACAAGCCTTCTTTCATGTGAATATCTTAGGAATACTTCTCTAGAGTTTACAATTTCATGTAAAGGCAAGTATCACTCATTTACTTGAGAAATGCAACTGTTCCACACATGACATTCACCTCTCACTCCTGAGTGGACATGATCAGGGCCACCCAAATGCCAATCCCATTCCATTATCCATGGCCTTGGTATGAAGTGGGGATGAGGCATGGTTAGGGAGACAAGTGAGATGGAAGAGATTTGAATGTGCATAGTGGTTACAATGCAGGTGCTGGGACCAGAGTCATGGGTTGGAATGGAGTTTCCAATTTACAGTATGTCCTTGGAGAAGTTACTTCAGTGATCTCAGTTGTCATCATCCAAAGAATAGGGAAAATATGAGCATCTACTTTAGAAAGTAGTTGAGATAATAAAGTGTGCTAGTATATGACAGTATAAGAAATCAAATGTTGGCTCTTAATTTTCAAAACTATATAGCATAAATGCTCTTAAAAAAATTGTCTCCAAGCTGACAAGGGGCAAGGTTATGGTCATTACTTGGTCACAGCCAGCTACCCAGAGGGACCGAGTAGTTGATCCTGTGGGCTTGGGATCATAGTCGCAGGGGACATCAAGCTCAATTGGCATAACATACTATACAAAACATTGTTCCACCTACTACTTTGGCGAGTAGCGACTGGGACCTTAAAAGCTAGGAACCTGCCATCTAGATGCAACAACGGGTCTCTCCTCGTCAAGAAGAAAGAAGAAAACCAAAATTAATGGAAACAATCAGTCCTAGCGACTGGTACACCATCCGATCTGCAACCTATACAACTATGAGACCAGCAGAACTAGATGGTGCCCAGCTACCACTGCCATCCACTTGGAAGGGATGTAGGAGATCCTGCATAAAGAGGGAGAACAACGTGGTACAAAACTCAAAATCATTTGGAGGCAAAAAAAAAAAAAAAAAAGAAGAAGGTGGGGACCATGTTTGCTGGTCCAATAGAGCCTGGTGTAACCACTGAGACTATGGTCCCTAGCTGCCCTTCAGGTCTGGAATTGAACCCACAACTGTGGTTTCCAGCCAAACAAAGTACAGGCATGTGAGTTAAACATTTACTTCAAGTAGACACACGCCCTGGAGAGAACAATCATGGGAGAAGGAAGGGCTGCTTATGCACAGGAAGATAGCTCAGGGTGCAGAAGAGTATGAAGGGATGGACACTGGGAGGAGGTAACTATGGGGAGGAAGTGGGAGGGGAGCTGCTGCATTGTAAATTTTGGTCAATGACATGAGACAAAGTATATGTGAACTGCTGTATGAAAAGTGAATTTACTCTGTAAATCTTCACCCAAATCCTAATTAAAAAAAAAAAAAAAAAAAAAAAAAAAAAAAAAAAAGTCTCCAAATCAACAAATTAGAAGGCTAATTCAGATTTGTTGACTGCCATATTACATTTGAAAATAAGAAAACCTGCTTTATAAATACTTAATATCAAACTGATACCTTGAGACAACCAAGAAATGGGGATTATTATAAAACCAAAATTATTAAATAAAATTCATAAGATTTACTTTAAATTCTTAATACTAACAAATTCTCATGTTTGTTTAAATCAGTTGTTTCCACGTTAGTGTCAATGAGAATCACCTGTAGGGCTCGTGAGACCACAGATGTAGTGACCCACCCCCTAGAGTATCTGATTCATTGAGGCCCAATGAAGGCCCAAGAATGTGTATTTCTAATAAGCTTGGAGAACACTGCTGAAGATACTTATATGCAGAGACAGCCATGCACACAAAACAGAGTAACCAAAACATACCTACCCAAGTGATTTTACTTGTAACAAGAGGACAATACAGTTAGAAAATACTGTGCATGTGTGTGCACAATATTACATACACACATAAGCAGAACACCAAAAAGTTTTACCATCCAACCATATCCCTACCATCTCCTTTTCCCTTTTGTTTTAAAGGCTAAACAACGATATATAATGATATAAGGATGCCTTAATTTAATGATGTATTACTCCAAAAACTCTAAGCTAGGGGAAAAGAAACAAAAAGACATAATTAGTTTATATTTAAATTCTATTCAAGAAAAGCATTAAGCACACACTTCATCAACTAACCTGGAAATGGATACAACTGTTCTTCTGTCCTAATATAATTTTATAATCTGATAATTTATAATGGGAGGAAACTGTTTCACCTACAAAGGAATTGATCAAACACAGATTTATAATAATGACATTATTAAACGAGGGGGTGGGGGGTGGCAATGTCTCTAACAAGCACACTTTCTGAGTTAATGCAATTACTTTTTAAAAGGTAATACATCACCCAGTGCTGAGGACAATATATTTTCAGGTTAATAATCATCTGAGAAATTGAGCTTGCAATCTTCCCTAGGAAGCAGACCCCCATGACTTGATCTCAACCTGGACATAGCATTTATTTGTGTGAAAAATAACAACAACAACAAAAAAAAGCCGTTATAAAGCATCAACTCTATATAGCAAGTTTCAGTAAAGAGCTTGAAGATTTTAAACTGCATTTTAAAAGATGACTTCTGGCCCATGCTCGCCCCACATTTCCCAGGAAATAAAAGCAGAAGCTCTAACAGCAGCCAGCCAGAAATACAAAGTGTCTGCACAGCTTTGACGCTTCTGTGCTTGAAGGTAATCTGGTCATGCAGCCCTCTTCCACTCTCTTTCCTTCTCTTCCCCTCTAGACTACACAAGACTTTACTGATGAAAGCTCAGCAAGTTCTCACCATAAGGCGTTTGACAACTAAACTAAGAAAATTAAAGGAAAATACCAGGTGCCGCTCTGCAGGTTGCATTTATCACCACTTATTGGATATATTCAAATCCTTCAGGATCCACAAAGGAACCAGGTAACTTTGTATCTACAAGTATTTGACAAATATATGCTTTTACACTACGATGTGTGTAAATTTCCTTCTAAGTTTTTTCTTTTAAAATGGAAAACCTTTCAAAACAATTAATATCAACACAAGCATGTATTTAGAATGGAAATTAAAATATAAACCAGGTTAATGGTGTTAAAGACAACCATTAAGTTCTTCATTTAAAAAAAGATTTTTAAAGAGCATGGAAATAAAACACAAACTGTATCTTACTTACCTTACATCAAGGGTGTAAAATACGACTTAAATCTAGATAGAGGAAGGTAAAATTCTCAATATCCAGAATATTCGTTAAATAAATTATCATCTACCCAAAATGAGCATTTCCAAAGCAGGATTTCCAAAACTAACCGAGAATGTACAACTAGAAGCAAATAGCAATAGCCAAGAAGTATAAAGTTAGTGTTCTTGCATCAACAGAAAACATATTTTGTTCAGTTTTAAAAAAGCTAACCCAGGTGGGGAGGTGTTGAGAATTGAAGCCATGCTCCAGACAACATGCATCTTGTTTTATGGTAATAATTAAAGCATGGAAAAAAGAATCCACTTGGCATTTTGGGGAATTTAGTGCTATCTTTATTCCTCTGGCACTCTGGTGGTGCAGTAGTTAAAGCACTCGGCTGCTAATTTAAAGGTTGGCCATTCAAGCCCACCAGCTGCTTCACAGGAGAGAGATAATCTGCTTCTGTACAGAGACAGCCTTGGAAACTCTATGGGGCATTGTACTCGAAGGGTCACACATACATACACATATTATTTGTCATATTTAAAGCTTCTACATGGAAGCTACTTTTTTTTTTTTTTTTACTTCTTTTAAATTTAGTCATATTACTGTATCAGGAGCTCTGGTGGTGTAGTGCCTAAGGCATTTGACTGCTAAGCAGAAGGTTGGTAGTTCAAACCCACCAGCCACTCCTCAGAAGGAAGGTTGGGCAATCTACTTCTCTAGTGATACTGCCTCGGAAACCCAAGGAGGGGCTGCTATGAGTCCATTCCAACTTCATGGCACATAACAGCATCAACAATTATTGTATCTAATAATTTGGAGCATTTTACATAGCATCATTTTCATTTGTCCATTATGAAATAAAAAATGGTGAAAAATTTTATTTCAAATTTCAAAACTTAAATATGAGATGATATATTCAGGATAACGTTTAGTTTTCCTTAGAGCTGTATGTTGTGGTAATAACCTACAAAACCAGACAAGGACATGGTTTGCTATTTTATTTTAGTTATAATTATGTATTACATAAACCTAGAATGTATGCCCCAATTGTTTAGAAGCATGGCAGCTGATTTTTGCTTTGTTTTAAAATAATAACCATGATATTTAAGAAAATGTAAGTAAATAATTCCAAATTTACTGAGCACTGTTGGGAACGAGATATCTATGGGTTAAAATATTTGTAGCTAAAGACTGACCCTGTGAGGCTGATTTTTTGAAGGGTGACTAAACAAAATAGAGGCAGGAATATCTCCTAACTATGAAGAAAAGTATTTTTTTCACTCAGCATTTTATTTACTTAACAATAAATTTACCAAGATTGATTTTACACCAATTTCACTTTTTATTTTAAAATTCTAAAAGGCAGTTATTGTCTTTTCTCCTAGGAACCCTTTAGTGGCACTAGAATAAATGAATGCTAGGGATGGGGATGGGAGCTCTAATGGCATAGTGCCTAAGGCATTTCACTACTAACCAGAAGGCTGGTGGTTCAAATCCACCAGCCACTTCTCAGAAGGAAAACTGGGCAATCAATTTCCGCAGAGATATCCCCTTGGAAACCCAAGGAGGAGTCACTATGAGTTGAATCAACTCAACGGCAGTGAGTTTGGTTTTGGTTTAGGGATGGGGATAGTGAAGGAAACATGAGTGAATCCCACCCACTGCTATCAAGTCAGTAACTCACAGCAACCCTGTAGGACCGAGCAGAACTGTCCCACAGGGTTCCCAAGGCTATAGTAAATCTTTACAGAAGCAGACTGCCTCATCTTTCTCTGATGGAGCGACTGGTGGGTTTGAATCAGTGCCCTATTGGTTAGAAGCCACTGTGCCACCAGAGCTTCTTATATTTAGTGAATAGAACAAAATAATTAAAAGGTATGGGAATGAAGATGAGTAAGACTAAAACACAGTCCAAATATTTTTCTTCTAGCACTGATACATGAATAAAGGTGAGGTTTTGCCTAAGATCAAAAATGTGCTATGAGGCAAACATTCCACAAAAAACAAGGTCTACAAGCATCCATGCCTTCACATACTGTAACTCAGCCTTATCATGCTTTGCTTGACGTGGAATGTTTGCTACGACGAAACATTCTGAGATCTACTTCTCTGTGCGCTCGCTGACATATGATGATCGTAAACAGCAATTTTGAGAGAGGGCTGTGCCCCAAAATGTTACATATGGAGATAACAGTAAAATCAGCTACCTGGTACTAGAAATAACCATCCCTTCCCTTCTTCTCTAGGTAGCAAAAGAGAAATGGAAGCCATGGATAACCTTACCACTGTAGCTGGGAATGGCAGCCTATGTACCAGAGATCACAAAATCACCCAGGTCCTCTTTCCGCTGCTCTATACTGTCCTGTTTTTCACTGGACTCATCACAAACAGCCTGGCAATGAGGATTTTCTTTCAAATCCGCAGTAAATCCAACTTCATTATTTTTCTTAAGAACACAGTCATTTCCGATCTTCTCATGATTCTAACTTTTCCATTCAAGATCCTTAGTGATGCTGAACTGGTGATGGTGTCACTGAGAACCTTCGTGTGCCAAGTTACCTCTGTCATATTTTATTTCACAATGTATATCAGTATCTCATTCCTAGGACTCATAACTATCGATCGCTACCAGAAGACCACCAGGCCATTTAAAACATCCAACCCCAACAATCTCTTGGGGGCTAAGGTTCTCTCTGTCATCATCTGGGCATTCATGTTCTTACTCTCTTTGCCTAACATGATTTTGACCAACAGGAGGCCAAGAAACATGAATGTGAAGAAATGCTCTTTCCTCAAATCAGAGTTTGGCCTGGTCTGGCACGAAATAGTGAATTACATCTGTCAAGTCATTTTCTGGATTAATTTTTTAATTATCATTGTATGTTACACACTGATTACAAAAGAGCTTTACAGGTCATATGTTAGAACAAAGGGGGTGGGCAAAGTCCCCAGGAAAAAGGTAAACATCAAAGTTTTCATTATCATTGCTGTATTTTTTATTTGCTTTGTGCCTTTCCATTTTGCCCGAATTCCCTATACCCTCAGCCAAACCCGGGACGTCTTTGACTGTTCTGCTGAGAACACCCTATTCTATGTGAAAGAGAGCACTCTGTGGTTAACTTCCTTAAATGCGTGCTTGGATCCATTCATCTACTTTTTCCTCTGCAAGTCCTTCAAAAATTCCTTGATGAGTATGTTAAAGTGCCCCAATTCAGTAACATCTCCTGCCCAAGAGAACAGGAAAAAAGGACAGAATGGTAGTGATACAACCCAAGAAACTCCAATGTAAACAAATAAACTAAAGGAAATACTTCAATCTGTTAGTGTTTTGAACTCCTAAGAGGAAAGCACTATACAAAATTATTGGTGGAGTTAATAAAAGAGTCTTCAAATAACAAGTAGATGACAAAAGTAATTTTCATTTACTTTTCCAGTATAAAAGTGATCTTAAAATGTAGAAAAACAACCAACTTGTAGCTGTGTAGAAAAACAAATCACATCCAAATGCCATGCTGCATGCAAAACAATACAGAATTGATGATTTGCAGTTTCAGCAAAATGAACAACCATACAGTAATATCTACTGTAATTCTTAAATCCATTACTGATCATATCCTATTTTTCTTCAAAATCAAGTAAGAAACAATGATCAACCTGATATACACTTAAGATGTATACACATAGTAGTAGTATTAATCTCTTAACAGAATGTTGATCTACTGTTGATACTTATAAAAATTTAGGTAAATGGAATAGATAGTCAAAGAATTGCTACTAACTTTCAATTATTAGTAAAATCCTTTTTGCTGGGTGCCACTGAGTTGATTTTCAACGTATAGTGATCCTACATGACAGAGTATAACTACCCCCATAGGGATTCCTAGGCTGTACTCTTTGCAGTAGCAGATCACCACATCTCTTCTCCCACTGGTGGGTTTGAACCACCAATCTTTCAGTTAGCAGGCAAGCACTGAACTGTAACTGTTGTGTCATCAGGATTCAAGACTTAAACTACCTGGCATAGCTTTTTATTGGACTCAGTTTTTAAAATGCTCATTACGGAGATAGAGACTATCATTCCAAAAAAGATAGCAGAAACACCAAAAGGAGTCACTAAACCAGGAGACTTTGAAATAAGGAGCGCTGGTGATGCAGTGGATAAAACACTCAACTGCTAACCACAAGGCTGGCAGTTTAAACTCACAGCCACTTCATGGGAGAAAGACAGGCAACTGGCTTCCATAAAGATTTACAACCTTGGAAACACACCAGGGCAGTTCTACTCTGCCTTATAGGGTCTCTATGATTTGGAATTGACTTGATGGAAGTGGGTTTGATTTTTAGTGGTAAAAATTAGGAATATTTCCTTAACACTAGTGAAACTGGTTTTATTAATACTGTAACTTTAATGGATACAATACTATTACTGGCATCTGCCTTTATTAACTAGCTTCACACAGACAACTTCCAATTTTCCTAGAATCATATTTCTTACGTTACCAGTTCACATTATTAGTGGATGTGGTTTTAAAATCCGGAAAGGTGTGTGTCAGAGTTGTATTCTTTCACCATACTTACTCAAGCTGTACAATGAGCAAATTATCCAGGAAGCTGAACTATATGAGGAAGAATGAGGCATCAGGACTGGATTTAGACTAATTAACAACCAATGATATGCAGATGACACAACTTTGCTTGATAAAAGCAAACAGGACTTGAAGCCCTTTCTGATGAAGATCAAAGACTACAGAGCCTTCAATATGGATTACACCTCAATATAAAGAAAACAAAAATCCTCACAACTGGACCAATAAACAACATCATGTTATCTGGAGAAAATATTGAAGCTATCAAGGATATCACTTTACTTGGATCCAGAATCAACACCCATATAAGCAGCAGTCAAGAAACCAAACAATGGTATTGCATTCAGCAAATCTGCTACAAAAGACCTCTTCAATGTTAAAAAGCAAAGATGTCACTTTGAAGACAGGTGTGCCTGACTAAGCCATGGTATTTTCAATTGCCTCATGTGCATGTGAAAGCTGAACGATGAATAAGGAAGACCAAAGACTAATTAATTGATGCCTCTGAATTAAGATGCTGGCAAAGAATACTAAACATACCATGGACTGCCAGAAGAATATAAATGTCTTGAAAGAAGTATAGCCAGAATGCTCCTTAGAAGTGAGGATGGCAAGACTTCGTCTCACATATTTTTGACGTTATCAGCAGGGCCAGTCTCTGAAGGACATTATGCTTGGTAAAGTAGAGGGTCAGCAAAAAAGAGGAAGACCCTTAATAAGATGGACTGACATAGTGGCTGCAACAACAGGCTCACACATAGCAATGACTGTGATGGTACAAGACCGGGCAGTGTTTCATTCTGTTGTATACAGGGTCACTATGAGGAGGATATGACACTATGGGACCTACAAACAACAACAGGTAGCTTCAAGAAAATATCTTGTGTGTATCTTTGGTTTATGAACTACTTGGGTTAATGAACATTTCCTTTAGTGAGAAAAATGAATTAAACATGATTATATATTTGCACTGCATAACTACTGACAGGAAAGTGATTCAAGTGTTTGGAATTGCCTATTTGTATGTATGTGTGTATAACACAAAAAACTTATATTAAACTCTAAATCACACTTTGTTGGAACTTTAAAAATAAATTAACAGCGAAACCTGTGAGAGTTGGAACTTGACGGTTTTTCCATGTCTTGCAAGTTTTCTGCCTTTGACAGGGTATAGTTTTATCATTTGTTCTTCTTTCTTTTATTAGCTTAAAACAACAGAAATTTATTCTCTCACAGGTATAGAATCAAGGTGTCAACAGGGCTATAGTCCTTACAGGTTTTTAAGGATAGAGCCTTCCTTATCTCTTCTAGCTTCTGGTGGCTCCAGGCATACATTAGCTTGTGGCAGCATCACTCTAATCTCTGCCCCTGTTTTCACATGGCCTTCTCTTCTCTCCATGTCTCTCTTCAATGTTTATCTTTTTTTACAAAAAAAAAAAAAAAAAAAAAGCTTTTTATTATGATTTACTTGAAAGTTTATAAAGCAAATTAGTTTTTCATTGAACTATTTATACACAGTTTGTTTCATGACATTGACTACAATCCCCACAATGTAACAACATTCTTCCCACATCCTTCATGTATTTCCATTTCCATTTGTCCTTCTGTCCTATCCCAACCTACCTTCTGAGCTTTCTCCTTGGCTAAATGTTGCCCTTTTGACTTCATATTGTTGATTGTTCTAAGGAGTTTGTCTCTCTGATGTTCTTGTTCACCTTACAGTCCTGTCTATTTGTCTGAAAGTTGAGCCACAGGGGTGAATTCAGTTCCACACTTGAAGGATGTCTACAGGCCAAAATTTCATGGGGGTTCCACCAGTCTCTATCAGACCACTAAGCCTGGTCTTTTTTATGATTTTGAATTTTGTTCTACATTTTCTTCCCACTCTGTCCAGGACTGTCTATTGTGATCTTAATCAGAGTGGTTGGTAGAGGCAGCCAGGCACTATCTAGTTTCTTGGGTCTCAGGGTAGTGGAGGCTGAGGTTCGTGTGGTCTTTTGGACTACTTGTTTCCATGTGTCTTTGATTTTCTTCACTCTTCTTTGTTCCAGATGGGAAGAGACCAATAGCTGTATCTTAGATGGCTGCTCACAGTTTTTAAGACCTGGTAGCTACTCATCAAAGTAGGATGTAGACATTGTCTTTGCAGACTATGTTATGCCAACTGACCTTGATGTTCCCCATGAGAATGGGCCTGAGTGCCCAGACCGAGCAATTTATTCCCTCAAGGTATCTGGTCATGGATAAGAAGTTTTCATAACTTTGTCCCCATATGCTCTACTATATTCATGGATATATTTGCAGCACATATAAAAAATATGTAAAAATATTGTCAAACCTACATGTATATTCATGGGTACAATCCCATATGCCTTCCCTGACCTCTTCAGCTTGCCACTTTTCTACTGCTCCTTTTAGTGGAAAATACTTGAGTTTTCCTTCTTGGACAGGTTTCCACCTTGCATAGCTTCCAGCTTTTGCAGGTTTTACTCTTGTTTTGGTTACTTCATGTCACTAACAGAAAGATCACAGATGGAATGGCTTTAACAAATAGGAGTTTATTCTCTTACAGTTTTGGAGGTTAGATGTCTGAATTTAAAGTGCCAGCTGGGTGAAAGCCCCTCGACCTTGGGCTTCAGCTCTGCCTCTTCCTTCTGGCCCACTGAAGCGGGAGGCTTTTTCTTCACTCAGGCAGCTGCTGGCTGCTGAGGCTAAGCCCAAGGTCAACAAATAAAATGGCACAGTCCCAATAATACCACAACATGGCAAGCCATTAGTTTAAGTCCAGAGACAGTCTCAAGGTTGGCAGGAAACAAGGCAGGTTGCTAAATGAAGACTTAGCTATGTGCAGGTTTCAAGCATGTCAAAAGCTGAAGACCTTCCTCAAAGTTGCTTCTTATATACTGGAAGCAGACCACCTCTCTATAGCAGCTATTTGGCTGTTCCAGTAGATTCCACCACAGAGCTGATTACCAATCTCATCATGGGGAATAACTACATCCAGCTGATCAGCCACTCCAAACCAGGCCCAGCCAAGTTAACCTTAACTATCACAACTCTAGATAGCATGGCTCATTTCCCTATATAGTCCTCAAACAAACACATTAAGAAAGCATAGCTGCCAACACTGTTTTATTACATACTATTGGGCAAAGTCTCTTCTAAAGGTGACATCTCACATCAAGAAGTTTATATCCAAATGAAACAAATCAGACTTGTAACATGTAATCTGATTCCACACAAACCATGTTCTACATTTTTAATATAAACAAAATAAACAGCACACTTGGAATTTCACGGCATTTATCTCAATTATTTATGATCCTCACAGGTGAGGCTCTAATAGAAGACACAGATACTAACATCTAAATATAAAGCTAGCAGAAATTTTTAAGAGTTACAGTATAAAGAAATTCACTAAACTTCAATAATAATCAGTTTTATCCAAACCCTCCACAACTTCTGCTGAACTAAATTTCAATACAAAGCTAAACTAACTTAACTATCTAAATGGTATCTATTCCCAAAGGGCTACATTTCCTTCTCTGCCATTGCTAGCAGCAAGCACTCAGAGTCAGTGGAGATGCACAAAGAAATGTACATCGAAAAGGTGCATATTCTATGTATTTTGAGCATTAATCTTTGCTCCCCCACAGACTAATACACTTAACTTAATGGCATGCATAAGCATGCCAGTTCTATAAGAAGACCAGAAAAATTGAGCTGGAAGAGAAACTAGAGATCAACTAATCTTTCTTACTTTGTATATGAAAAAAGTCAAGAGCAGATTTACCTTCAACCCATCCAAATCAGGAGAAGAAAAGAGATTAAAGCTAATTACATCACAGGGCCCTGAAGGTCAGTTGTTAGGGGAATAAAGACTTTCCTTGATATAAAGAACT